CCTTTCCTGCACGTCTTTTCCCTTTCCCCTTGCTAACCCTCGCTTTGAATCCTATTTTGCTCCTCTTTGTTTCCTTGCCTCTCTAATCCATCCTACTTTCCACTAACTCCCCTCTCTGCACAAGACATCTTAGAAAAAAATATTTGCTTATTTCTCAGAAGGCCTTGAAAGTTTCAGTGCACAAGATTAAAGAAAATGATCCCATGAAAATCTAACAAACAATCTGTGTGTATGTGTGCGTGTGTGTGTACTTCTGAGAGTGATTGCTTACTATTCAGATATGTAAGTATATAGACTTGGCCTAGACAGTCGGCAGTTTTTATGCCCAGACAGATCTCTAGATGTGCAGACACTCACAAATACACAGACTGTATCAAAGGATCAATGGCCAAGGCTACTGTATGTATAATATATAAAACAGCAGTTAACAAAGGACAGTTTCAGGCAACCCAACAGAATATAGAAGAGAGTCGCTCTGCAGTCATGGAGATCATGATCATTACCTTGCGACAAGATATAGGGATTATTACACCTGTCTTTCATGTGGTGTCCATGTTCATATCTGTTCATGTAGTTAAGCTACTTTTAATAATAGAAACATCTTTTGGTTTGTTGTCTGTTTTTACTCTTTTGCTAAAGAGGCAATGGATTGTAGGACAAAAATGCCAAAAATTGTATCACAATGTCTATTTAGTTGTTTTGCTAGTATATTAGATTATATTCCAGTTTACATGTCTGTGAAGGTTCTCAGTCATCCAGGTCATCGTAGTCAAAGGAGCTTGCAAAGAAAAGCGTCTGGACTTCTTTAAGTTACTTGAAGACGTTTCACCTCTCATCCGAGAAGCTTCTTCAGTTCTAAGGTCAAATGGTGGAGAGTCCCAGATATAAACCTAGTGGGAGTATCCCCCCACAGAGGGACAAAAGGACCCCCTGATGATCCTCTAATCGCCTGAGCCAAGGTGTGGAACTGGGTGTGGGTCCCAATCAGCGAGTTTCGGGTGAGTTCATTGTGAAACCTGGCCCCACCTTATCATGCGAATTCCTGAGGTCAGATGGCCCAGGGTGTGAGTGGGCATTAAGGCGTCTGGGAAGGGATCTCAAAACTGGATTATAGATGGCAGAGAGTTGGTGTCGTAAACCACCGCCTCTCCACCAAAATGTACACCACCTAGAAGCTTCTCGGATGAGAGGTGAAACGTCTTCAAGTAACTTAAAGAAGTCCAGACGCTTTTCTTTGCAAGCTCCTTTGATTCCAGTTTACACTTTCTGAACCTTTCATCCAGGTTTGGTGACCCTTTGTTTTTTATCCGTCCTTCAGTATTACTCTTGTCCTAAAACATTTTAAAGTTTATTGTAGGTCTAATTTTTACCAAAATATTCAACATACTGAATACCAACTCTGCACTCATAGATTGTTGCTTCCCCACTGTTCATGCATGAAAAGAAGCTTTTATTTAATGGTCTTGTAATGCCATCTAGTGGAGACATAGTCACACAGGATGCCAAACAGAAACAACACTGATAACACCAGAGAATAACTAGATCCACATGATAAAATAGCCATAATTTATTTCCCCTCAACTTTCTTTGAGCAATCAGTTTTGAAATCTTCATGGCTAATGAAGATGCAAATATTAAAAAAAAACATCTGAAAACAAAATTCAACTTTAATTAATTAGAAACACATTTTATTCAAAGAACCTAAACTTTATGCATACATCCACAACCTATATAAATAATTTATTTGTTTGTTTCTTTCATGACAGAGTTTAAAGTTGCATTTTTGGCTGCAATCTTAGGAAATTTGCACTAGGAAGATCACCATTCACCACTGACATTTAATCTATATTTAATTTAGGCTTGCCCTTGCTTAGAGATTTCTTGAAGTCCACTGCTGCATATATTGAAATCCTCCTTAGTTGTACTTCAAAAAACAATAATCTACTGTCACTAATTTTAAGTTTTATTGAAAATAACATGACTGTAATTTTTTAAAACAATGTTATGCCAAGGCAAAGACTCAAGGCTGGACTCAAATGCTGGACACACATTAAAAGTTCAACGGGTTTACTGTAGGAAATGAAGGAAAACATGTTGATTAAACGGGTGTGGAGTGTTTGGGAATGAGGGGCAGGATGGGAAATCTACAGATCTTTTTCCAGAGGTTTTTCTCCACTAGACTAGAAGCATCTGTGCAGAGAGGAAAAAAGTGGGTCCAAGTTCTAATACTGATCCAAACAACAAGGCAAAACCACAGAGCAAGACAAGGCTAACCACACTATCACAGTTCAGTCGTCTGGCATTATATGAGATATTACTTCAGTGTTAAACAGCAGACAGGAAATGCCAATTGCACATAGATGAGTTAACTGCTAACAGCTTCCAAGTGTGTAAGTCAGGAGGGCGGGGCCTACTTCAGGAAATCCACATGTGAAACAGGCAAGCAGAGTTAATCCACTCACACTGACAGAGAGAAAACCAAGGAAGACAAATGGATAGAAAACAGTAGGTTGGTACAGGAGGACAAGAGGAACATTAGAGTCAAAAGGGAGAATAATTCAGGGATGCTCACTGGCTAGTGATTGACAAATTATGGAGGTCACCTGATACAAGACGTGAGAGAAGGTTGAGGCAGCTGGGAAGGGGTCAGCATTGCAGGTGGCAGACAGTTGTTGTCGTAGGCCATGCCCTCTGTTCAAAGTTGGTTGTTCACAGTGGGCATAGATGGTCTCGTTTACTCCTTTTTCAAACAATCAGTCTCTTTGGTCCAAAATGGGAAGGTTGGCATCATCGAAAGAATGACCTTTATCCTTTAGGTGTAGATGTACAGCTGAATCTTGTCCTGTCAAGATTGCTTTTTTATGTTGCGCCATGCATTTAAAAACTTAGTATGCCTCAAACCGCTACCATGACTTCATCAGGCAACATTAATAATGTGCAAAACTGTGCAATGCTTTAACAATGAAATTGTGTTTTTATATGAGGGAAATATACATAAGAGACCACTATACATTAGATCCCTGATGTAATTCTGTCCCCACCTTGAACCCATTGCACCTTTTCTTGAACATTATATTACTTGGATTATATTACATTATAAAAATAATAAGATGCATTACTCATTTCTATAGTAAGAGGTATATTTACACACATCCAATATCCAATAAATGGTGTTGTCTGCAATGCACCAGAGACAGATGACACGCATCATAAACACTGCAATAGTCCATCAACAAATTCAAAACACTGAATAGAATTATATAAACAGAAATGCTAGGAATTTGTTTTTATATTAACAATGAACAGCCTTGTATTGCCTTTAAATTAAGCACCACATAAAGTATTTTAATTGAAATTATAATATTTTTGTTTTTACTGGCTGTTGCCAACAGGATTCATGAAGGGTTTTCGATTAAAATAAAGACATAATATCATCAGCAAACATAATATTTAGGAAATGTGTTCATTGAGTGGGACAGTGGCCAGGTGGATTCTCTGCAACAACACAATGTGAATATCTTGATCCAGTGAGGAAACACTGCCCCACAAACACGAAAAAGTACATTGAAGTGGATGGGCTACAGGAGCAGAGGACTACATCAGTTTCCACTCCTGTCAGCAAAGAACAGAAACAATTTGAACTGGTTCATCCAAAACTGGAGTAAGATTAGAAATCGTTATCTGGTCTAATAAGTCTGGGTTTGAACTGTGAAATTTGAAACATAAGGTCCAATTTTGGTGTGCACAACATATTAGCATAGATTCATTCTGCCTTGTATTGTGTACATTTTACTGTTGTGGCGGTCTGAATGTGGGGAATATTTTCTTACAAGACTTCTGCCCCTTAGTAGTATTTGAGAATTGTTTAAATGTCACAACCTACGTGAGCATTGTTGTTAGCCACATCCTTCCCTTTATGACAACGGTATACCCCTCTTCTTACAGTGGGATGGAAGACTGGCGTCATGAATATTCATGCCGAGCAGTTGCTCTAGATATCCAGACAACAAATCTAGAGCAACTGCTCGGCATGAATCAAAATTTCTGAGGAAGGTTTCCAGCAACAGGCTCCTTGTTGTCCCACCTACCTGATACAGTTTTCTGTGAGTGCATATGGGTGGTAGAATTTGTTTTTTTAACACTGGAAAAAAAAAACCACATTACAGTACTGGTTTTAAACATTGTTTCTTGCCCCTTTCTTTCATGACAAAACAATGACTCTTGGATAGACTGAAGTTTATTTAACTCCCTTTATTTTCTAATCATCTGACACATGGTACAACATACAAACAAGACAGCAACCTCCACCAATCGTACATTCAATACATGTATCAAAAGAAATTAAGATGACTAGCTAAACAGTAAACAAAATTTGGACAAGAATGAGCCTTTTTAATTTCATGTACTAGTTTTAGGAAATTTGCTGATGGGAAAGTTATAAAATCATACTATAACTTTTAAGAGTTCAGCAATTTTAAAATCCAAAATTCATGTACCATCTGTTTGATTATACTTTGATTGTATATTCCTACTAGCATAATTTAACCCCAGTTAATGTCAATAGAAATATTAAACCTGACAAAAACAACCTGCAAATCATCAGAGAAGCATCATTCTCAGTCAATGTTTTACAAAATATACTATTTCTTAGAAAAGGATAAAACACTTGGATGCACACCTATGTCCAAAACAATACAATCAGGGTGAGGTGAACTTACAACAGATACTGATACTTCTTTTTTTTCTTCTTTTTAAGAATAAAGACGCTCTTAAAAAAAACTGAATATAGTGGTCCCTCGCTATAACGTGGTTCGCTGATTTAATTTTATTTTTTTTGGAAATTTTGCATGGTTTTATTATTTTATTTTTTTAACAGCACATTGTGTTCTGCGTCCTGGCTGTAGACAATTGTCAATCAATCTTGTGCCGTGTTATATAAATTATATGTACTATGCGTGAACAGAATGCGTTCAGCTTGTCAAATTTACACAAATCTTCGATCGCTAACAGTGTGACTCTGAAGTGCTGTACAGTATGTTTGTAAGTTTTCTCCCCAACAAACACAACAATGTCGACGAAACGTTTGGTACCGTCAAAGTCAATCACGGGTGCCTTAGGTTTCATTATATAATACTGGACTCATTTTTCTACGAAGGTTTGAACTTTCAGAGTGTTTAAACAAGAGAGAAAAGTGTAAAAATGTTCATGCCTGTCTGAGAAAAGTGTATAAAGTGTGTTGTGAGGGGTTTTACAGACTTAAAACATCTATAATAATTGTAAAACACTAAAGCTGGCTACTTCACAGATTTCACCTATCGCAGGTTATTTTTAGAACATAACTCCCGCGATAAACGAGGGACCACTGTACTTCAAAATGAGATGGTAGTTAAAATCTAATTTTTGATGACATATGCTGGATGACATGAATAAAAATCTGAACTACACACTGATGTTAGAGGATGGGTTGCTGTAAATTATTGTATTGTATTATTGTAACAACAGTTTGTTCATAACTGTCAATAATACTGTGCAAATAATAAACATCAACATAAAAAATTGGTGAGTCAGTGTTTATTGATCATGCCCATTTCATCTTTTTAGTCTTTGGTTATAAAATATATACTTAAATAATATCTTGAGTAAATACATAAAGAAATTTGCATCTACTTGCTCTGTTAAGGTATCTACTCATTTTTAAGTGCTGTAAGCTCAAAGAAATACATCCGGAAGAAGGAAAAATACATTGGAAGTTAGGAATTTACTGATCCCAGACTTGGTTTATCCAAACGATTCAGATAAGACAACTACCTATATACCAAAAATGGTCTCTTAATAGATCCTAACCCCCAAGCAATGCTGTCAAAAAATAAAGTAAAAGTACTAAATAAATGAAAATCAAACAAAAAAAAAAAAAGGTTAACAGCATACGTTAAGGATCCTGCAGGTGGCTTAAACACATTCTGGAATAAAAATGACCCGACTAGTAACTCCCCCCCCCAAAATTGCAAGGTTTATTTGGATCAAAACCAGTGTTAACAACATGTCTTGAAAATACTGCAGGAGAAAAAAAAAAAATACACTTGTTGAGCATTTCTTTTTTATTTTTATGTTTGTATGTTTTCTCTTAGCAGTTTTCCATATTAAATTAATTATTTGGGACTTTATTTGCATTCTGACATATTTTCAGCTATCATCTATCACTACATTTTAATCACAGTTTCATTTCTGCATTTTATCTGTGACTTGATTTCTTAGGCCACTGTACGTTGAAACTCTATCAAGTTTAAACCAGAAAATTAACCAAGATTTGACAAACTTGGACTAGGCTGTGACCAGGTGTGGTTCCTTTTCAGCACTGATCATCAATCAAAGTAATAATTCTGCACAAAAACAGCATCAAAGCCTCTGTAAATGGGAGAAAAGTTGTAAATGAGAGCTTTGTCTTCCTCATCAGGACTGGAGTAATGATGGTGGTTTTTCATGGCTGGAGGAGAAAAAGGAGGAAAGAAAAGACAACACAAAGTAGTGGAGTAGTTTAATAATACAGCAACACCGCTACTCGCTTTATAAAAAGTGCTGAATGACTGTTATGCATCAGCAATGACTTAAACATAAATGAACCATTTGCTGCATTAATTCACCAATTCCAAAATGTCTTACCACAACAAACATCTCAAATTTAATCACCAAGTTAAAAATTTCAGTGTTTTGCTCTGCATCAGAACTACTGTTTCTAGGCAATAACAGTGTTTGTTGAATGCACTTTTTATATTAAAAAAATATATTTTTAAACGCACAATATGATCAAATGCAATTTCAGTGATGGGATCTAGAAAATCAAATGATTAAAGTTTTAATTTTGAGAGGTATAAAACAAAATATACTGCTCAAAAAACACAAAGGACACTTTTTAAAATCAGTATTGCATCAAACTGCCCACTACCATTTTTGATTTGCTGCAATGAAATTTCGGACTAGCATGCCGCATCATTTTTCACTTTTTTCTGTGTTTGAATTCACCCGTTTATAAGTTGATAATTTTAATTTCCCTCAAACAATGTAAGATCCTTTAATTCCTAACACACTACCCAATCCATATCAGTATAGCTATCAAAACATATTTTAAAGTTTCTTTAATTGTTTTCAGCAGTGCATAAAAGTGGCCGTAAATCGTAAACATGTTTGGGGATCCTCTCAAATTAAAGCCAAATGTCTGTGCTTCAGTGTTATCTTGGGATTACCTTGGCCTCCAGTAACACTGTGAGGAATTTTGGAGTCATTTTTAAACAGGATACATCCTTCAATGCAAACATTAAAAATATGTAGGACTGCTTTCTTCCATTTGCGCAATATCTCTAAAATTAGAAACATCCTATCGCAGAGAAAAACTAGTTCATGCATTTGCTACTTTCAAGCTGGACTACTGTAACTCCCCGAAAAGCCTTCAGTTAATCAAAATGCTGCAGCGAGAGTACTGACAGGGATTGGCAAGAGAACATATTTCTCTTATATTGGCTTCTCTTCACTGGCTCCCTGTTAAAATCCTTCTTTTCACATACAAGGTCTTGTATAATCATGCCCCATCTTATCTTAAAGACCTTATAGTACAATATCCCCCCAGTAAAGCACCTCCCTCTCAGTCTGCAGGCTTACTTATGGTTCCTAGGATATTTAAAACCAGAGGTACAGCCTTCAGCTTTCAGGCCCCTCTTCTGTCTCAACCAGCTCCCAGCTTGAATTTGGGAGATAGACACCCTCTCTGCTTTTAAGATTAGGGTTAAAACTTTTTTTGCTTATAGTTAGCGCTGGATGAGGTGACCCTGAAGCTACCCTTAGTTGTTAGCTGCAATAAGACCTAGGCTTCCCATGATGCACAGAGCATTTCTCCTTCTTTCACCCCTTTTTCATTCACCACATGTTTATACACCACTCTGCATTTAATTATTAGTTATTATTATTCTCTGGCTTTCTTCCAAAGCATGTTTTTTGTCTTGTCTCCCTCCCCTCACCCCCAATGTTGTGGCAGATGACTGAGCCTAGTTCTGCCAGTGGTTTCTTCCTGTTAAAAGGGGAGTTTTTCCTTCCCGCTGTTGCCAAAGTGCTTGCTCATAGGGCCTGATTGTTGGGTTTCTCTCCATTATTGTCTTTACCTTACAATATTAAAGCAAGTTCCTTGAGGAAACTCTTGTTGTGATTTTGAGCTGTATACTTTAAATAAAATTGAATTGAATCAAATCCTGATTATTTCATTTTCAAGTCTACTATAGTGATGTGTAGAGGCCAAATTACTAAAAACAAAATACGTGATTGTCCTAATATCTATATGCTGGACTTGGATTGAACAGACTGTGTTACCTTCAGAAACAAAGAAGCTGGCAGTGTAGAAGCTGGCCCTTACAGCGGAGACAGAATGAATCATTCCTGGCTTATCTACCCACTCAAAAGGACTTTTCTCTGGATGCCATTGCACAGCATAAAATGGGTAATGGTTGGCTGAAAACAAGAGACATTATTAATATTGTTATTTCAAATCATTGTCATCAGCACAAACTTTTAAAAAATAGGTTCATCAATACAAAATATGTCACAGCAAATTTAATTCCAATGTCGTTTCCCTAAAAACAAATTACGGCAGTGGTTCCCCAGCTTTTTTTGCTAGCTAGGCCCCCCTGTTTTACAAGAATATCTGCCCACCCCACGGCTCTGCGCCCCCCACTTTGGAAACCACTGAATCATAGAGTGATCAATTATATTAAAAACAAGAAAAATATGAGTGACTGTCATCAGAGAGTTTTTCCTGTTGGACTGATCCACGGTTTCTAGTTGTACAGTGGTGCTGCCATCTGGTGGATAGTTATGCCAAATTTCATGCTGATCTCAAAGTCAGATAAATTTTTTTGTGTGTTTAAGACAGCAGAAAAGAATCCATTATGTAATGAATGGCATGGAAACTACAGGGTAGTTAATAAATGTTACCTTCCATGGTAGAGATGAATTCTTTCTTTCCATCACTGTTAGTGGACAGGATCTTGTAAAACCTCCTGAGTTTGGCATTTCGACTGTAATTCTGTAAATGGAATGGTAAATGATAAATGGATTGGTTCTTATATAGTGCTTTCCTACTCTGAGCACTCAAAGCGCTGTACGCAACTTGCCTCATTCACCCATTCACACAACCATTTTTTAAAAATACTCTTTCTACGCAAGTGCTTTCTATCTAACATTAACATGCATTCATACTTAAGTGAATAATAAGTCTCTAAATCAATTTCCTTCCTGACCCTTGTGCTGATGTAACATGAATTTCCACCAGTGTGGTCTTACTAAAGTCTACATTTATGCATGTTTGCAATTTATTTCTAACAACACCAAAATTTGAGATACAAGCCAATAATTTATTTGGTCAAAAGAAGAGCAATTAGAGCACATGTTCAATCTCCATTTATATAAATTATATGTACTATGTGGAAGATGATGATTTTCTTATTGGCACACATTCATGGAAGAAAAGCTTACATTTTAGCTCCTTTGTTGCTGAGGTGCACTGTCATGTTAGTATGCTAAAGTAGAAAACTAAACATAGTTTATGCTTATGTTTATTTTCCACCCATAAGTACTTGACCAGAAATTTGTAGTAATATCCAATTTCCCCGGTTAATTCATGTAAGATGGTATGCTTTTGGACAGTTTTCTGTTTTCAGGACAGTTTTCAAAGGGGTTTCGGGTGTTTCTTGATTTAAGTACGATGGTACTTATGAGGCTGTATTTAAAAAATAACAAAAACAAACAAACAAACAAAAAAAAAAAACCAGATTCCTTGCAACCTGTTCTACTTCCATTAACAGATTAGTATATAATAAACATTTTAAAAGTTTCAGAAAAATAAAATAAAACAAAAAACTTCACCTATGGCAGGAAGAAAAAAAAAGAAGCAGAAATTACCTGCATGGAGAGACTCCAACTGTGGAAGTTTGCAGTGATGTTTTCACTAGCCAAAGACCGCAGCAAATCTTTGGGAAAATTCCGGAATAATCGGCTAGATGGGGCCACTAGCGGATGGATACAGATTTGTGTCACAGAGAATGACATGGAGTATATTTTCATGGAATAAATATATAAAAATATGCAAATTTGAATGACTCTGAAAGAATGTAAGCCAACTTGTATCTAACCTGACAAAATAACCAAATCGAATAACAGAAAGTAACAGAAAAACCTGATGTGAGTGTCAGAGGTAGAGCCACAGCCTTGGTATCAGTAAGCGTGAGGAGGTTTTTGTTGGCAGTCAGGACAGTGAGCTGCTGGAAGCCCTGGCAGGTTCCCCAAATAGGGAAGTAGTCTCCAGCATCATTGCCCTGCAGGACCAAGGAGTGAATAAAGACAAGGTACCAATAAATGAAGGCAATGGCCATTTTTTTTTAAGCCTAAATCTTTAGATAGCTCTAAAGATTTAGATATATAAAAAAATCTCAGGGTAGTCAGTCCTGATAGACAGTTAAACAAATCAAAACCCATACCTTCAGAGCCAAGTTGTAAAAGATCTTGGCAGCTCGACTGAACTGTGACGTCTGAAGATCTACATCTCCACCTGGCAACAACAACCTGAGGAGCCACAATTTAGACAAATAAGCTAGGAGGTGCTTCAATGGAATTGTTACTACCTTTTCAAATTTGTGTAAAAGCAATAAGTACAATGCCTTCAAGTGTAACTCTTAATATCTCATGTGTTAAAATTACAGCCGGTAAGCAAATAGAAATGTTAAAGCCAGACATCATAGATACTAGAACAAAGGTCTGAGTAACTTCTAACAACACTGGATGGATGCAACTGATGTGCAGCAGTGAGAAAAAGTTTTTAACATTTAAATGGTGTGCAGTTAAATCATGCCTTTTGAACATACAGCTAAGCTTCATATTTCTGTCTATTTCATTAGAATATACTTTTCATTCACCAAATCACATGCCAATAGAAAACGACTCATTATCATGAAAACTGACTTGAGGTTCAGTGACTGTCAGGTTTGCCAAAACCTGTTTTCTATCATGCTTAGACTCTCCACCCTACATATGATGTGTGTAACAAGGGAATGATCCCCACAGCACAACTGATGTGTGTGTACTTGTTAAGGCACAGCACATGTGGTGGTCTAATAACATGAATTGACATTGTAGCTATTAAAGCACTATGTGCCTGTAGCGTCTTTGGTTAACCTTGAGTGGAATATCTTTCTAAACGGCCTGGAGTCAGAAAGATATTCTCTCCACTCAGAGAACTTTGGTTACAAGGTAATCAACAACCTAAGCCTTGACCACCATCTGAAGCTTATGAGCCAATCCAATAACCTGTGTTGCTGCAATATAACATAAAGAAAGCTTGCAGTACAAATTAAGTGTAAATAAAGAGAATATCTGTTTAAGACCTACGATTACACCGTATTCAAACTACAACAAAATGCATTCAGTATGAAAGACAACAGTCAACTTACCCGTTTATTGAGTTAAATATCTTGGCGTACTCTTCTTCTGTGCGATTGATTCTGTTAAAAAAAAAACAAACAAAGAAAACAAGCAAATGTAAGAAGTAAAATCCTTGCTTATGAAGGAAAATCAAATTAGTTATTAATTACATTTGAAGAACACTACTCTTATGAGACAAGTCATTTTGTCAGGTTTAAAATTATAGATAAAAAAAAATAAACCTACAAATAAAAAGCAAACCTGAAAAATAAAGAAATGTTACAGAAGAATCTCCAATCCCAATTCACTCCATAAACATTTGAAGAATTACATATTTTGTTTTCTAGAATTTTGCCTGTAGATACCACGATGATAGATTTTAAATTAAATACTCAAGATAAAAACACAACACAGACTTTTTGGCTTTAATTTAAGAGTTTCACAAAAAGTAATGCATTAAATGCTTAGGAATTATAGCTATATTTATATATCCTGATCAGGCATAACATTAAGACCACCTGTGTAATTGTGTTGCCTCCCCATCTGCTGTCAAAAGAGCCTAGACTCAACGAAGCATGGACTCAACTCCTGAATGTGCTATGATATCTGGCACCAAGATGTTAGTAACAAGTCCTGTTAAGTCCTGTAAGTTGGAGGTTGGGGCTCCCTGGATTGGATTTGTTTGTCTAGTTTGTCCCACAGCTGTTTATTGAATTTAGATGTGGGGAATTTGAAGACCCGGTCAGTATCTCAAAGTTATTGTTGTGCTCCTCAAACCATTCCTGAACCATTTTTGTTTCGTGACAGCGCGCAATATCTTGTTGAAAAAGTTAATAGCTATCAGGGAATACAGTTCCCATCAAAGGGTCTACATGGTCTGTAACAATCCAAATTTATTTATAAAGCACTTTAAAATACCCAGCATGGGACCAAAGGGCTGTACAGTAAATAACTTAAACAATGCAATGTTAACAATGCTTAGGTAGTTGGTATGTGCTCAAGTAGCATCCACATGGACCCAAGATTTCCCAGCAGAATATCACCCAAAGCATCACACTGCCTCTGCCAGCTTGTTTTATGTGCTTTTGGGCCTTTCATTGACACGTAAGCGGTATTTTGGATCACTGAAAACTGAGATTCTTAGAAACTCCTGCCAGGGTGGAATTTTCAAAAAGTCAGTTTTTACATTTATCTGTGGACGAGGAAAACGGAGATTTAGTCACGCAACGTCAAAGGTGTGCGCCTTTTTTGACGACACGCTGTGCGCCACATTATTATTTACGTGAGATGAATTTCTACAATGGCAGATAAAGACAAAAATACTGTTGCTGTTACTATCTGTAGTTTTTACACGCTTACATATACACATGCAGTTACTGTCCCTCCATTTAGAAAGACTGAGCTCTCAGAGTGAACTTCGGACATTCAACATTCAACAGAGACGCTCTCACAACCCAAATTCCGACGTAGTCGTTGGTTTTGAATAAATTTAATTTTTTTAAAATAAATTTATGTATGATGTATGCATTTTTTCCATTCCTATGTTGTGAGTCTACACAAGCCATATCTCAGAGCGCTGAGAGTTGTGATTATGAATCAGACTAATGTAAAATTTTCTGTTTATTTCTTTATTGAATAAACTCTGGCCAAGAGAGCCAGTGAGACAAAATCCAAAATTCTATCTTTAGTAATGAACATTAGAAATGGTAAAGGCACTTGAAAAGTATCACAAAATTAGCTGCCTTTCCAGAAAAAACACAAAAACTTTTCAGAAGTTCAAAACCCTGTTTAAGCTTTCCCTCCCAGGCTTCTAGACTTCTGAATGGAAAACATTTCTACATGGTTAGGATTTGGCATGTTCTTGACAGCATTCGACTTCGTTTTTTGCTTTTACATGTGGACAGAAATAAGTGTTTAAAACATGGTGCAAACCACTGGTTACACCAAAGAACAGAAAGGCCAGGTCAGAAAACGTCTAAAAAAAAAAA